TATGCTGATTTAAATACCTATCTCTGGTGGTTTCCTTGTGAAATGAAGATTTGCAGGTGTGCAAATTCCTTGTCACAAGGACTTTAATCCCATGCCTGCTGTCATAAACAATCCTCATTAAATTGTGTTTTAGCTGAATTCTTACCAGCTGCATTAAATAATAACACTTGTCCATGTTTCTCTACAGTTTAGAGAAAACATTTATGCATTATTAGATGATAAAGGAATGTGTTGAGAAAACAAACAAATATCATATTGACTGCACTGCAAATCTCACCTGCATTGCTGCTCCCTTGTCCTGGTGTTCAGAGCTGTGACTGTGGAGGAGACTCACTGCCTTCCCTGAATGGCCAAACAAGGGATGGGGTGAACCACAGGACAGGCTGTATTTATTACCAAACAGAAAAGGAATTATCAGTAGGTGCACTGCTGTAAAAGTGTGTCCTTACCTTGGTTTGTTTAACCCAAGCTTAAAAACCAGGTCCCATTTGGATTTGAAATGGATGTGACATCCAACACTAAGGCCATTTACCTACACTTTCCCCCTGAGAGCACCTTTCTTTTGTGCCATGGATAGAAGCTTTTCCACATTATGTTTCTCCATAATGTTTTGATAATTCTTTCTTTCTCTGTCCTCCATGCATCCATCTCCTTCCTGACACCCATCTTTTTCTTCATAGTGACTTCAAGATTCTCCTTCTTTCGTTTCCCCTTCTCCCCTTCTCCTCACTACCCCCATTTCACAGAGCACTGCAGAGAGCAGACTCTGCTCTGGGCAGTGCCAGGAGCGAGGTGTGAAACCCTCTGCAGCAACAGAGAAGCCATCTCAGGGTGGTCACACAAATCTCACTGCCTCCTTGATGCTGTCAACCAATGGGAGCACCAGGATTTGTATCCTGCCCTGAGAAAAAGCAGGGCACGTATTAGGCAAACTAATCATGCTGCAGGGATTTGTGGAATGAAAAGCACCTCTGCTCAGGGCTCAGAAATGGTGTGAATCAACCACACACCACTGCCAGGGGCAAATTCACCTGCTGTCTCCTTACTCTCTTCTGTCATATTCATTATTGCAGCATCTCAGCCTCCAGGAGCAGAGAGCAGAGCCTGGCCAGCCCATGGTGAAGGCTCCCAGTGTCTCGGGGCAATCTGAAGTGATTTACACAGGGCTGGCTTCCCCCTGTGCCTGCAGCCCTGCCTGTGCCCGGGGCTCCCTAATGCAAACAAAGTAACGCAGACTTAATGATCGCTGTCATTTCCATGTGCCTACTGCTGATCTCTTAATGAAATATTCCACTTAAATTGCACTGCACAAGCACAGTTCTGTGCTGGCAGAGCTGCAAAACCGGAGTGCCCAGTGAAAAGGTCCTGCAGTACAAAGGAGAGCTGGTAGTGGAACACTGCCTGACTGTTTAGGTGCCTGCTCCTGCAATCAACACAACACCTGCCAGGCTTTCTGAAGGGTAAGAAGAGAGCAGAGGATGGAAATTGCCTTTATCTCAGGTTGGGACATGGGAAAAACAGCTGAAATGAGGGTGACAGTCTGTGGGGATATGGATTTGGCATTCATGGAGGGGTGAGTGGTGTCTGCTCAGTGCTGCTCCAACAGCCTTGCTCCCTCCTGTCAAATCCTGCTGGGAGCACTGCTACAGAAGAGGAGCACTGGGAACATGCTGCACCACACAGACTCTTGGTTTACCTATTGTCACAAGCAGTAAACCAAATATTGGTGGGGGGAAACTAAAAGTCTGTTCAATGACCAAATGTGTGTTGCAGGAAATAGGAGAAGTAAAATTACTGAAAAGCAATGGAGTTTTAAAAAGCTGACTATATTGTACACTCAGTCTAAAATAAAGACAAATAGATACCACACATGTTCTTCACTCTTCCAGAGATGAACAAGAGCATCGAGCTCACCTTTCCTTAGGCCATCAGCTCTTGCAGAATTACATGGCATAAGTGGAGGTCTCTAAATTTTGCCTCTGCTTTGGCCTTGCACACCTCACCTCTTCCCCAGCCCCCTCCAAGCACTGATCACAAGCAAGCAGTCTCTGGCTTCAGGCACTGCAGGGTCCCAGGAAGTGATGCAGGAGTAGAGAGCAGCATCTGGAAACAGAGAATTCACACAGTCTGCCTGGGTCACAGCACCCACTCCATCCTGCCTATGGTGAGGAAATGCTGAAGGTGCTGATGAGTTTGTGGTTGACTGATAGGAATACTTTTCCCCTAAATAAAAGCCTATTTTAAGAGCATATTTTTCAAAGCTAACTAGGTGGAAAGTAATGGAACAGGAGCTGTGATTTAGTCCAGCTACTCCACCAAGTCCTCCTGTAATTTCCTGGATGATTTGGAGTCTTGTCCTACACTTCTTCATGGTAGCTAACACTAAAAACTGCTTCAGCAGGTGAGAAATCAGCCCTATTCAGTGCTGACCCACTAGCAATGGTTGAGAGAGGCATTATCTTCCCTGTTCCATCAGTACAAGGCAAATGAGAGAGGCAGTTTCCTTCAGGGAACCAGGGCTATGTTAGAGACACAGGAAGAAGGGAACAATGCCCAAGATTTGCATTTGCTGAAGGGCTCAGCACATTGCTCCCTTGTGAGCCGGCCAAGGCAGACAGCACATGAATCCTTGTGATTCATCCTTCCCCCTGGTCCACCTCTCTGTATCCAGCACGGCACAGAGAGCTCTGTGTGTTTATTTGTACACAAAAAGGTCTTTACTTGGTACTGTAGTATTTGGGTGCTTGGCTCAGGCTCCCAAGATGGAGCAGGGGTACAGACTGATCTGTTGAACCAGTATTTTCCACTTTTCTGCCAGACTGCTGGGTGACCTTGGGCAGTTTACAGCAACTTCACCTCTCACCACCTCATTTTAATTCTGTAAAATTATTCTGCTTAACTTTAGAGTGTAGCTGTCAACTGATGCAAGGGCAGGGTATGTTGTTTACATGTGACTCAAATAAAACCAGTGCCTAAAACCTGAAAGCAGCAAGACAGAGAAATTGAGAAAGAACAGAGTGGAAATGTGAAATTGTTCCTCTGCTTTAGCTTTTCTCTGCCTGCTGCCCTTCCTAAAGAGAGGCAATTACAGTCCAGCCCCACCATCCAATTTACTCCCTGTCAGCCACACTGAGAAGTTCAGGCTACCCCCCAAGGCATCATAAATGACAGGTAAATAAGCCACACAAGTTAGGAAGAGTCACTTTAAAGGTCAAAATTCTGCTGTGCTGAAGAATGCACGTTTCAGGGCAGATCTTTCCCTTTGGAAGGCTCTGGATATGGAAACTGGCAAGAAGGGCAGGTGCTCAGGAAGGACACATTCCAGGCACTCCCTGCTGCTGATGCCATGTGAGCTGTGCCTGCCCAGACTGTCCTTAGTGGTTTTTGGGGAAGCATAACCCAGGGATGCAGGGGTGCATCACCCAGGGATGCAGGAGTGCACAGCCCAGGGATGCAGGAGTGCACAACCCAGGGATGCAGGAGTGCACAACCCAGGGATGCATCACCCAAGGATGCACAGCATGGTGAGGCTGCTGGTCATGGACATGTCAGGGAGATGGATTCTAAGCTGTTGAAAAGGCTCCTGAGTTTCTGCTGCTCATGAACATCATATACAGAAACTGTCTTTTCCTCCTACAAATAACTCCTCCTGGAGTTGCAGGAAGCCCTGTCTAAGGGTTCTGACTGTCTTGGGGTTGAGCTGTGGAGAAGCTGCAGAGCAGGACACCAGCTGCCCGTTTTGGTAGGAGGCAGACACGGAGCAGTGCTCGGCAGGACCTGCTGTGCTCGCAGGGCTGACCCTGAGTGTGAAGCGTCGCTTGCACCGTACAAAGGCCCCCAACCTTTTCTCTTCCGAGTGTTTGTTGAGCTGCTGTCTCCGGCTGTGGCAGGTCGGAAGCTGCATCTGGAGAAGGTTTGAACGTATCCAGCCCCTTTAAAAATCGCCCGTTGTCAGAGGGCTGAAAACCCCCTCACCTCCACAGTCCCACACCTGGCCGTAGGTGTGTGCGTGCCCAGCCAGCCTGCCCGGGAGGGGCTGCCCAAGCCTTGCGGGGACAGGAGCGGGCAGGAACGCCGGTCCGTGTGCCTGCTCCCGCTAATCACAGTGTCCTGCCCGTGTCACCTGAGCACGTCGGGCTGCGGCCATGCCCGGGTCCAGCGCCGGTCCGTGCCAGGATGCGCAGCGCGGGGTGCCGGGATGCGGGGTGGGAGTGTGGGATGTGAGGATGCGGTAGCGTGTGAGTAAGGGCGAGTGTGTGAGCAGAGTGTGTGTGTGTGTAGTGTGTGTGAGTGTGAGCAGTGTGAGTGTGAGCAGTGTGTGTGTGTGGTGTGTGTGTGAGTGTGAGCAGTGTGTGTGAGTAAGTGAGCAGTGTGTGTGTGTGTGTGAGTGTGAGCAGTGTGTGTGAGTGAGTGAGCAGTGTGTGTGAGCAATGTGTGAGCAGTGTGTGTGAGTGAGCAGTGTGTGTGTGAGCAGTGTGTGTGTGCGAGTGTGAGCGGTGTGTGTGAGCAGTCTGTGTGCGTATTTGTGTGTGTGTGTGAACAGTCTGTGAGTGTGTGTGTGTGTGTGTGAGTGAGCAGTGTGTGTGTGTGTGATGAGTGTGTGAGCAGCGTGTCTGAGCAGTCTGTGTGTGTGTGTGTGTGTGTGTGTGTGTGTGAGTGTGAGTGTGAGTAGTGTGTGTGTGAGTGCGCGCCCGAGCCCTCACCGTTCCCACTCCCCTGGGAGCCGGGCAGCTCCGTGCGGCCAGAGCGCCCCGTCCCTGTTCCGGGTGCTCTGTCCCTGTCCCCGGGGTGCCCCTGCCCGCCGTGCCGAGCCGAGCCGAGCCGAGCCGTGCCCGAGCGGGGCGGGGCGGTGGGAGGGGGCTGGCCGCGGGGCCGTGGCGCGGCGGAGCGGCGGGCGCAGAGCGCGGCGGACACCGCTCCGCTCGCTCCGCTCCGCTGGGCTCGGCGCACCGGGGCCGGGCGCTCCATGAGCCGCCGCGGGGGCGGTGGGCGCTGCGTTCGCTCCCCGCCGCGGAGCCGCCGCGCCGCCGGAGCCGGGATGTGACTTGCGGAGGGCTGGCGGACAGAGCTGCCCCGCCGCCCTCGGCCGCAGCAGACAGCGGGTGAGCCGGCGGCGGGCGGGGGGACAGCGGCCCCGGAGCGGCTCCGGGGGTACGGCCGGGCCAGGGCTGCGGGCCAGGGACGTAGCGGAGCCGCTCTGCCGGCTCTGCGCCCTGCGCTGCCCGCAGAATTAGCTCGGTGGCCGCCAGCAGACAACAGGCTGGATATAGGAATCCTGGGGGGATTAGATGGGATATAGGGCAGGACGGGGGGGCTCGGAGCAGGGGCTGCGCTGCGGGGAGCGGGGCGGAAAGCTGGCGAGGAGGGCAGCGGAGTTCGGAGAGGATGGGGAAGAAGAGCGGGGACAGGCGGGGGAAGAAGAGAAGGGGAAAAGAAACCGAAGAGAGAAAAGAACGAAGGGACAAAAGAGCGGAGGCTGAAGCGGGATAGGTACCGTCCAGGAGGAGGAGGCTGCGGGCGGATTAGGGCGAGCCCGGAGCGGAGGCAGCCGCGCACCGGCCGCACGGAGGGGCCGCCCGGCCTCGCACCGCGCTCCAACGCGGGGTGGTTCCAGCCAAGCCCGGCTCCTCATCGCATTCCCAGCGGGGGCTCAAGGGCAGGGAAGAGGCCGAGGGGGAAGAGCCTTTGTTGGCCCCCGGCCGCCGCGGTCCGGTCCCGGGGCTGGCGGCAGCTCCGGCTGGGTGCGGGTGCGCTGCAGTTCTGCCTGTAGTTAACAGAAGCCCTGTCTCTGTGTTACCTCTCCGCAAAGCCACGCAGAGAGAGGATTTAGCACTTATGTGAACCCTTTGTTTACACCTGCCCTTAATGTTTATCCCAAGGCTAACAGGATTTCCTGCGTGCTGAACCCAAACACTCCGCTGGGTGATCAGCGCTAGTACCGAGTTTAACGGGGATCCCCTTGCTGCTTACCAGCAGGGAATATCAGGGCTGAGGTGTTGTCACCCTACCTCAGGACAAATCCGGTGACAGATATACCCATCTGCTAGAAGGCTGTGACATGAATAGAAACAGTCTGAGAATTAGCAAAGAGAACAAAAACGTTGATTACTGTAATTGATTGCTGTCGCTTGTGAATTCAACACCAGGCGCTGTGGTCAGAAGTACCTAGGCACACGTGATACACTGATTCCGACTAAAGGGAATTCAGCCCCGAGAAAATTAGAAAGATAATATCATCGTGTATTCAGCGTCACAGAGTATTTCTAAATGAAAGCAATACTTTTTCTACGTGTCCTTTTTGGAGTAGGGGCTTGCTTTCTGTAACCGTGAGGCTGTAAGACAGCATGATGTGTATCTGATGCAGGGGCTGTCAAAATCACTGCTGGGTTTTTTGCCTACAAAGCACAATTGCACTATTAATTATTATTCTGGAAATACACACGTCTCTTGAGTAGTGTGATCTCAACTTGGCTGTTGCTGCTCTGTTATCAGTCCTGGAGCTCATTCTTCAGTTCTGATCAAAAGCAGCTGGCAGAGATCCTGTGTTGTGATTAATTCCTCACTCCCTCCCGTCTCTCCACAACACTTCGTGGCGGGGGTGGTTTTCTTTTGCAAATTGCACAGTGAACCAGTCTTCTGCCTGTGTGGTTACTATCTGTGCTACTATTGCTTGTATTTACTGGATTGTTTTTCTTCTCTGCCATTGAATGCATCTCCCTGTGTCAGCTGACTAACATTTGAACTCCAGGTACAGGAGCAGATAATGCATCTAACCATGAACAGCCTAACCTTAACTCTTTGCACGATTACAATTTATTCTGTATATATATTCTGTAGAAGCATTCAGCTGTGTCTTTTTGATCCCTTTGCAAGCTTTGGTCAGAAGACTTTAGCTACAGAAAGCCTCATTGATTTTTAACCGTGACAACTTTTTGATGACAACTGTGAGATTTTCTCTTTCTGCTTAGTTGCTTGTAATTGTAGTTTGTACCCACTGGGGCAGCTTTGTGTCTGCAATTTCTGTAGTGACTCTATGCTAGATAATGTAATGAAAGGACCTCACTCTGTAGAAAACAGTGGAGTTATTACAGCTGTCATTGAGAGCAGATTTTGAGCCAAAAATTGAGTACTGGATTGAAATAGTAGCTATCCTGCTAATTGTTCACTGCTTTTGCCTAAAATGTGTAAGGCTTATTGATTAGAATATTGATTGTAAGTGTTCCTGATTGCTCTGGTTTCAGGGTACGTTGCCTTAATGGCTTTACCAAAATAAAATTTTGGAGGGGAAGCTTGGGAAAAAGAAATCTCAAGTTGCTTTTGTTGCCTGTGAACAGTTCATTGCAGTATGCAGGGGATGTAGCAGTGCCACTGGCTGTATCTGTGCTGGAATGTCTCAGTGCACTCCTGTGTTACTGGAGTTCTCTGGCAGCAGGAGGGAAGTGCCAGCCGAATAGAGCACTATTGTTACTACTGTGAGGTTGCATAACTCCAGTGAGAGCTAATCTAGACATAAAGATGTAAAAATACTCTTCCTCTACAGTTACTGATTTAAGTAACAACCAGCAAGAATGTGCAGTAAAATTTTACTATAAAATCTCAAGAGGCTCAGAACTCTGCCATCCTACCCACTGCACAGGCTTGAGGAAGATGCTATTTTAATAAAACCCCCATAATGATGTATATCTGGTTTTTGCAGAAACCAAAAACAACTTTCCTGGGGGAAAAAAAAAAACAGCTTCACAGTTTTCCCTTAAAATGACTGAATCTGTAGTTTTAGCTAAAGTTGTGGTATTCACTTGCCAAACTTGTGTGTTGTAATGCAGGGTTTTCCTTTGTTTTTATAACTGTGTTTAGTGCTGAGTATCACCACTAGAAAGAGGATTTTTTTTTTTTTTTGGCTGGTAATGTCTCAGAGGCTACATTAATAATATTGCCTGGTTTTGCCCAGTTAGGCAGAAATTGATAGTTACAGGTTAGAAACAAACTGCTTTGCTGATAGCAGTTAGGAGGAAAAGATTTCTCCTCTGGAGATTGCGAGCTCTGCTTTCCAGCTTTGCTCTGGGCAGGGTCTGGTGGTGTTTAGTGAGACTCACTGATATTGGGTAGGGAATTATTTCACACCAGGAATAGTTGTCAGCAGTCCTAGAGATTTTCTTGGTCAATACTGTGGCTGCCTGGGACCTTTCTAAGAGCACCACTGATTATGTCCCATCAGCTTTCCCAAAAGCACAAAGTAAGTTGGGAAAATTCCTCTTGAGTTGAACACCTCTATATTTCAGAACATGTATTTTGAATTCTGAATGTATTTTATCACAGCTTAATTCCCCCTTTCCAAAACTAACCACTTCTTCATGGAGGGGGAAATACTCAGATTCATTAACCCTCCCTTCCCCCTCCCAAACACTTCCAAATAGGAAGAGGAAACAAATGATGGCCTGACAATATGACTGCTTACCCATGCAGCACAATCTCCATGGAAACAGACTGTCCTAGAATAGCTCAATCACATGAGGGTTACATGACGTGAATAAAGTAACCAGAAAACTGGAAAATATCTTAGAACTGGGGACACTTGCACTTAATTAATGACCCCCCAGGTCTTTGGAGAGTAGCTAATAAACAAAGCCAGTATTGAAAGCAATTTAGCCCATGCTTACCATAATTTGTAAGTGATGGGATAGTGGAAAATTAACATGACCCTCACTTTAGGGCTCTTTATTGTTTCTAGTTTGGGTGACTTTTAGAATGAATTTTGAATCATTTCCCACATGACCTCCTGTTTGCTGAAATGGTGCCACTGGTTTGGAGCATTGCCTTAGCAGATCCCAGTGGATTTCCCCCTTTTGTGCCAGCAGGCACTGACCATTTCACACTTTTTAGGACGTTTCAAACACTCTAAAGAGGAAATTCACTAGTTGCAGTAGGAATTGACTGTGCATAAAAGGAATTGGAGAACTATCTTTGGAATGTTTTCTTCTAGTTAATTATGTACTCAAAGGGCAAGGAGATTTATTGAGCGTATATTCAATACAAAAATGAATATATTTCACTGATTATTAGTTTTCTGTCTGTAAAGTCAGTGTTTTTTAAGTGGGTGTTGCAACAGAGTCATTGAAGAATGTGTTACACAAGTCAGATATAAACAAGTGTATATTCTATCAATCCAGCATGAAGCAAATTACAGATAGGTAGAAAAAACAAATCATTTGTCCTTAGCAGGTCATTGCATCATTAGAACATTGCAGCCCTTCCAATAGTGCAAAGATTAACATCTGTGGGCTGGCAGGGATTGCCCATTACCCATTTCCTGTTTGTCCAAGCCCACATCACATTATTTGTCACAGCTTCCACTTCTGAGATGATGATTTGTAATAAGATGTTTTGTACCCTGTGTGGGTGAAGCCCATGGAGTCATGACAGGTTTTTATTGGCATGTTTGCTGTTGGGGTGCCCCTGATAGCAAACATCATAAACTTCATCATCTGTCTCCTGATGGAGGCTGGAAATGGCCATTGGTCATGACATAGGGAAACACTGGTTTGAAGATTCAGATCCTCAGGGTTTAACTTTGGTCATTACAGGACTGTAAAGCACAAGAGCATCCACAGTTCTCAGCTCTAAGAGACACAGCACAGTGTCAGACAGTCTATGTAAATAGTTCTTGTGTTGGTTATGACTGATTGTGCTCAGTGCAACGCTGCACCACTACTTTAAATAATTTTCAACTCTCACTAAAGTTTTCAAGTTTTCATTAAAAGCAATTTTAATCTCTTTGGACAGGTAATCATTTAGGGCTGTTGTATGGCTTGCAAAAGAGCTCCTGATAGTTTCTCTGCTTTTCACTTTGCACCCTAAACATGGACTAACATTGACTAACATCATTGCCTGCTTATGTGGTGCTTTTCTTCCTCGTGCTCCTACAGTACCAGAGGGAGTCTGAAACATCCCTCACATCAGTGAGGAAAATCCTGCTGGAACCTGCAGCTCTAACTGCTGCTGAAGGTTATTAGAGTCAGGTTTCATATCTGCTCCTCACAGTGTTTGCTCCAGACTGCCCTTACAGGGCTGTGCCCAGGCAGACTGGAAGTTAAAGGTTACATTTTTTAACAATCTGCTTTGCTTAATAAAAGCAAATACCATAATGAGTGTTTTTAAAGCATCTAACCCATGTTCTTCCAAAAACTTAAGTTGGGATTTGTCTAGGCTTTTGGTCCTGGTGGTCAAGTGGGATGTGTTGTGTTCCTGGAGTGTTTACCATTGTCCACTTTCTGGATCCAAGAAAGAGATGCTCTGGGTTTTGTTATTTGTTCCCTTTGGACTGGCTAAGAAGCACAATGAGGCATTCATTTTTGATTAGTTGGTTGATGACACTGCATGTGTGCACCATTGTCACAGAATATGGAATTTTTCTAGACTGTCATTCCCATTTCCAAATGCAATCAAATACCTGGGCTTTGGAAGAGGATGAAAGAAGTGAATATGATAACTGCCTATTGACCGAGCATGAAAACAAGATATTTCTTTTCTTAAGAATATAAAATGTTTATTTTCCTTGGATTGCTTTATCCTTTAAAAATGAATAATATAAAAAGTGGTTTTGACTCTGCCTTTGTTCCAGTAAAAGGAGCAAGGCTGTGAGAAAGCCTAATTGTGATATTGCTTACGCCTGCATCAGGCCCAGTGCAACTTAAACACGCTTTAAACACCTTGATTTGAATGGGGCATGACATTTAAACAGGTAGTAAGTGTCCAAGTGTTGCAGATAATGTAATATTTGCAACAGGATACATAATTTTTTCTGGCTGTGTTGTAGGCCATTTGCAGGGTCAGAGTTTGGAAATGTTTTCAATCTGTGCAAACAGAGCAATGAGTCATTTTGCATTCTGAGTACAACAGGCAAAAGCAGCTTTTGGGAGGGCAGTGAAGGGGGCAGGGGGAGGCTGTGCCAGCTGCAAATCCAGTGCAGAAACTGTAAACATTGGGCTACTGGAACGAGCTGGGCTTCAGTGGCTGTGAAACCCTCCAAACTCAGCTCCAGCTAAACAAATGCTTTGTTGTCTCAGACAGAAAAATGAAAACCTACCCAGCCATTGGTTTCTTGGTGCTGCTGGCGATCAGCTATGGCTCCTCAGAGAACTCCAGCACGCCCCGGGGCTGCGGGCTGGACCTGCTGCCCCAGTACGTGTACCTGTGTGACCTGGACGCCATCTGGGGCATCGTGCTGGAGGCCGTGGCGGGGGCAGGTGTGCTGACCACGCTGCTGCTGATGCTGATCTTGCTGGTGAGGCTGCCCTTCATCAAGGACAAAGAGAAGAAGAGCCCCCTGGGAATGCACTTCCTCTTTCTCTTCGGGACTCTGGGACTGTTTGGGCTGACGTTCGCTTTCATCATCCAGGAAGATGAGATGGTGTGCTCCACCCGAAGGTTTCTCTGGGGAGTTATCTTTGCTTTGTGCTTCTCCTGCTTGCTAGCCCAGGCCTGGAGGCTCCGCAGGCTCGTTCGCCACGGCAAGAGCCCGTCTGGGTGGCACCTGGCCGGGGTGGCCACGTGCCTGATGCTGGTGCAGGTCATCATCGCGACCGAGTGGCTGGTCCTGACCGTGGTCAGGGAGAACAAGCTGGCCTGCAGCTACGAGCCCATGGATTTTGTGATGGCCTCCATTTATGTCATGTTCCTGATGGTATTTACCATGGGATTCTCGTTTTTCACTCTCTGTGGGAAGTTTAAGAAATGGAAGAAGAACGGAGTTTGCCTCATTATAACGCTTTTCTTTTCCATTCTGATTTGGGTGGCCTGGATGACCATGTACCTCTTCGGGAATGCTGAGCTCCAGAGAAGGGACAAATGGAGTGATCCCACTCTGGCTATTGCACTGGTGTCCAGTGGCTGGGTGTTTGTTATTTTTCATGCCATCCCAGAGGTCCACTGTACCATCCTTCCATCACAGCAGGAAAACACACCCAACTATTTTGATACTTCACAGCCAAGGATGCGTGAAACCGCTTTTGAGGAAGATATACAGCTTCCTAGGAGCTACATGGAAAATAAAGCCTTTTCAATGGATGAACATAATGCAGGTAAAAATTGCCTATAAAGGACTATATTTTTTTGTAGTGTCACGACAGCTCTCTGGATGAGACATTTTTCAGGTGTTGAAAACAATAAATACAATAATTCATGATATTTATCATTTATCATGTCATGATAAATACAATAATTTTCACACTACACTTTGTTCCCTTTTACGATTTTCACTAAGATATCATCTAGTGAGAGAGAAAAATTATAAAATGCAGACAATACATAGGTTAAAATTATCTTCTGCATGTCAATTTTTCTTTGAAAAACTGAACAATTTCAAATGCAAAGGCAACACCAAAAGAATTTAAAAATCATTGTGGAAAAAATAACCTTTAGATAATTTAAATGACATTTTTTGTAATTAGCAGTTATCAACATTTAATACAAAATATTTTCCCAAAACCTCAGAAATAATTGAAGTGGTCTATGTTACAAATTGCTCAACCACTTGAGCAACAAAATAATTATTATTAATTATCTTTCCATTAAAATGGATTTAGTGCCACTTTGTGTCCCTGTGGGGGGAAAAAATGCCAAGTGGCTTACAGACAGTTCAAAGACAGCCTTTGTTCTGAAGGCTTCAACATCTGAGCTTTCACAGAGGTTTTGAGGTAATTTGCCTTATGTATGATCACACATCATTAAAATTTGCAGTGGAAATGTTTTTGAGTGATTGCTGAAAGGACCAGCAACGACTGGGTGCTTCAGAGCTCCAAACCCTTGCTGAAGGCTCCAGCCATGTCAGAAATGCCAGGGATGCCTCTGGCCAGCAGTGGGAAGCAGGAGCCCCGTGGTGTTCTTAGGGAGTTGTGGTCTGGCGCTGCCCCACACCTGGATAAAGGATTTTGTTACAGGTCACACTGATTGTTTTTCACTCTATTTGAGGAGAATACTGGCCTAGTAGCCCAGGCAGGAGTTGCCACATTGCTCTGGCAGCCCCTGCAAGGAGGCTTAGGGCACGTGGTCCAGGCACTTCACCTTCCTATTCACCTTTATGTGTCTTTGATTTCTTCTGGGTTTGATGTTTCCCTGGGCACTGACCAGGCTTGGAGGAAGGGAGCACTTTTGTTTGGCACAGTGTCGGGTCAGGAAGGCATTTTTTCCTCTTAAGTTTTTTAGCAGAAACTTTAAAGGTTTCCTTCTAGTAGGGAAGTTTGTTCTGTCAGGAGATACCATAAGGGCAGTGGTAAAACAAAAAAAAATCACAATAAAAGAATGGTTATTGCTAATGTTCCAAAGCAAGAGGCAGTTGAACTATGGACTGTTAAAACCACTCTTTTTTTGGTTTTGTTTTCTGTGGTGGTTTTTTTTTACTGTCCTCCATCCCCCATTAAATTAATTTCATAGTAAAGTAACTGCAATGGCTTCAGTGAAGCTATTTCTGGCTAAGGCAGGTCTAAGAACAAAATTGGATCTTTCACTCTGTATCATTCCCATTCATGGGTGCATTTTTAAAAAAGAACTGGAAGCTCCTTTTAGATCTAATCATTCAGTAATTAAGTTTTTTTGTGAAATGGATAGATGTATGATAGCTACAAAATCATTATACTGTCTATTATAGTGCAATTTATGTTCTGTTTTAATCTATCTGAATGACAGTACAATACAAAATAGATTTCCTTATCTGATGCCCTTGTTAATGTATACCATAATAAATGCCTGTCATTCCTATTCCCATGGCATACAGGAATTTTTAATACATCAAAACAGATTAAATCTTCCTTTGCAGCAGTTCTTAATGGACTGGCTTGGGACAGCAGGGTTTGGAGACAAAACTTAGTAGCATGGTAGAGACTTAAAGTAAATACTTTAATAATAACCAAGGCACTGAGTCAGATCTCGGTGCTGGGCTTGTCAGTGGCAAAGCCCCTGGAGTCTGTGAGCAATTGGCCCTGCAGGGGTGAAGAGAATGTTCTCTCCTTTCATCCATTTGATCAGACTCAGTTTGAAAATTCATCATCAAGAGTTCAGAATTACTGGAAGGGTACTTTCTTCAACTACTTCATACTTAAGAATGATGTTGAAGAATACAAGATTTACTAGTTGTGAAGTTTGGAAGACATGATAAGCAGAAAACAGTTCCCTGACTGTAGTACTTGTTTCAGTAAATAGTTAGCTTTAAGTAGAAAACATACCTGGACAAATATATTTCCCATTCATTCTTGTTATTTCCACTAATATTTGTGTAAAACAATTTCATAACTTTGCTCTTTTTTAAGATTTTAAGCAGCATTTTAACAATCTGAACAGTGTTCAGGTTCAAACAAGCATATGTCCTCCTTGATTCCTTCTTTCTTAGCAAAAATTTACCTTCAGGTTATGCATTGCAACAAGAGCTGCTCTATGCCAGGAACAACATTAAGCATTAATAAACCTATTTTAAAGTCACTAACTTAAACATAATTTAAACAGCATACTAATCTGGAATTTTAGTATTTATATGATAGGTTGAAATATCTCTTCAGAAGAGTTATTTTCACTCTAAACTTTAATAAAAGTATTTAGAAAGCCTGGAGAGAGCAGTTGACTGAGTTCTCAGTGCTCTCTGGAAGTGCAGTGCACACTAGTAGGGCAACCTCTGTAGGCAGAGAGAATTTGCCTTAAACAAGAGAAATCTGGATGTGAAATGTAGAATGCAACAGCTGTCAGGAAACCCAAGCCCCAAGCAGCTCTGGTATCATTAAATTTCATTTAATAACTTCTACTACTACCAGTCACAGTCACAGCCAATACCTAAAAGCAAAGTGAACAAAATTTCAAATGTGTTACAAAGAGGCTTTGACAAATATCAAATCTCCTCAGTACTATTTGTTTTTTCTCTATACATGCCCTATGCAAGTGGATTTATTTAATAGTAATGTAAAGTGTATAAGGAAAAATGTTAAAACTAGTGTAAGAAAAAAAAAATAAGTATTTTGTCTACAACCTTTGTCACAGATTCTCACATCAAAAAAAGTGTAGCTGTTTGCAATAATAGGGAAAAAATTCAATATGAAATTGAATTTACTGGCTCTTTAAGATAGCTTTGAAATGACTGTGTATATTTTGTGTAAATACTCTGTATAAATATTTTAATGATGGTGTGCATGATAAAGATTTTTGTGTCTGTATGTAATAGCAAATACCAGTGCAATCATGTGTGTTTATCACACAAGAAGTAGTCAAATAGCAAAAAAAAGCTACTGCCTTGAGGTGGTTAAATATCTAATAGAAAATACTTCATGCCAGTTTAGGCATTTTCATAATTTTTTCTCCCAGTGTTCTGCAAAAATATGTCATTTCCAAATAGAGAGCAAGTGAGGGTCTATATGTATCTGAAGTCAACAGCTGAGCATTTGCAGGGTGGAATTTCTGAATTTCCATGCTAAATCAGTACTGTTCTTCATCTTGGTGCACAACTCCCAAGAGAGGAGTAGCAGTGGATAGAGGACAGCATATGGCAGTAGGATCCATTTAAATCTTCTTCTACATGGAGCAACTACATTGGAGATAAATCCTGGCTTCATTAAAGTCTGGGCTGAAATTCTCATAAACTTCAGCTCATTCATGATTTCAGCCAGAGACTGTAGAATTGTAATTTGAATTAAATTTAAGAGAAGTTCTTGCCCCAGGTGCCTGAACTGGGCATGTTTCTGTTTAGCAGCTGACAGATGAGTTTTGCCCGTTGTGTGATAAATGAGCTCTGTTCCCTGGCCACGTCTGAGTGCACTGAAGTCATTATTTACCCTCAGAATTAAAGAGGGAGTTTGTATGTGCCAATCCCCAGCCTGCTTTAGAGAGAGCAGCATATCCCTCATTATGCATATCTCACTCAGAATTTACATCTTGAACCCAAACTTGTACTAAAATTAATGGGGAGACTGTTTTATTCCTGGTGTAAACATCTAAAAGGACACTCAGTGTCTTCTCTTTGGCTTCAGTGATTTGCCATGTTTAAGCTATTCAAAAGCAATATTTACTCCATCTTTCTAGTTTCTCAGAGTAAATATAATCTGAAACATCTGGAAAACCTTTATTTGCTAGTCATGCTGAAGTAATGCTCAGGGGGTTGTGAGCATTGCTTACTGGCCTGAGCAAGGCTTTGGATCCCTGTCCACTGAGTTTGATAGAAAGCAAAATGTAGCACATTTCACTTAACCCCACAGTATCCAGACCAGCACAGGGAGCACTTTGCAAAACGCATTGTGCAAGATACATCACAGGTTTGGTGACTAAAGACACTGAGCTCCCACTGCAATGAGATTAAGCAAGCTTCAAAAATTTGGTTCCTTTTTCCCCCTCCCAGCAAACAATTCATTTAATGTAAATCTGATTCTTCTGAGGTCCGTTCCCAACGTGTAAAGGAAACAGCTGTTCAAAAGCAACGTGGAAGTTAAAATCAGTGGCAAAGCTCCCAATAACCAAAGTGGAAGGAAGAGGCTCTGTGACTGCACAGCTTTAATTGTGTTCTAAGGGTGTGATGTGTGATGTCTCTTTTCCAAACGCAGCGCTGAGGACGGCAGGATTTCGGAACGGCAGCTTGGGCAGCCGGCCCAGCGCTCCTTTTAGAAGCAATGTTTATCAGCCAACTGAGATGGCAGTTGTGCTAAATGGTGGGACTGTAAGTATCAAAATGTGATGATTTAAGAAATCTTTGAAATGCACTGATATATGCAACCATTACTAATTGAAAAACCTGCTTCAGCTTATTCACAGCAGGGGGAAAGCTATAAATGAAAATTTAAGGCAGCAAGTATGCATGTAATGCTTCCCTTCCCTCTAGAACATATGTAGCTAACAAGTATTTTGCATTTGTTTACTTGGCTATTCACATTTTGCAGTGCAGCTTCAGTGAACCAAGTTTTTTTTGTAAGACAACATATTCAATGGCCCTTTCAAATTAAATTTGTGTTAAGGTATTTAACATAACTATTAAGTGACACCATTTCTAATCTGATTTTTTTCAAGATGGTGTGAGTCACAGAGATGTTTTCAGGCAGTACGTTACTTTAAATAATTGTTGCAGATAATTGGTTGCAGGTTGTCTCACATATATTCCATTTACTTGTAAAATACATGTAATTCTTTGTAACTTACAGATTTGTACATATTTTGAAAAGGGATTCATAAAAGAGGAATATAGAATATTTTCATGTTAATAGCATCAATTTTTCTTCCTTGTAGAATGGTTTGGCATCTTTGAGAGACCTGTATTTTTGCAGCCTGGTTGTTGTAAGATTGGTTTAGGGATGCCAAACAGACTTTACAAATGTTTTTCACATTATGTCTAATTTTCACTTAAGACATTTCATATAGCAGGCACAGTGTTGAAAAAGAAAAATTTTCATCCCCACATTTTTCATGCATATCTACATGCTTCTTAAAAATCTACTCATGAGCCAGTTTGTACTCATGTGAGTTGGGTTTTCTTTCTTTTGAATCATGAGCTGATTCCATAACTCAACCTCTACATTTAAAACCAGTTTAAAATGAACTGATTGCAGGTCTGGTTTTTGTTTTTAAGTAAGTAAAGTTTTGGCTGATTTTAGTGGACAAGAGGGACTAGATACAAGAATTCTCCTCCGTGGGTAAGACTGTGTGAAATATGTCAACTTGAGTAAAATGAAAAGGCTTGGCTTTGCTGTCAGTCATGGATTGCATCCTTCTGATGTTTTAATTAATCTCTCTCTGTTTTCTGATACCAGAATGTGCAGCTCAGGCAGAAGGGAGTTAAAGGATGAGAAGCTTGACAATTTGGTTTTTTTTGTTTGGTTTGCTGTATTCTGAGTTGGATACAAAGCTCATGTGTATATATAGTCATGGTTTTACAGAGAGATAAACGCACTGTATGGGTGGAAGATGAGTTTCTCTGTATCACTTTGCTCTAGAACTGCCATCTGGAAAGCTGTCCTGTACGTGTAGTGTGCTAACACTGATTTTTGAACAGTCTAGATCTCTCAGTTATGGGTTTATTATCCTTATTTCCAGATACCAACTGCTCCGCCAAGTTACACTGGACGACACCTCTGGTGAAAGGCTGTAGGCTGTAGAGAATAAGAATCCTTGTTGCAGATGTTGTTCCCTGGCAGTGTGTCTTTGAGGGAAGGAATCCATAACAGTACCAGAACAAAGCAACAAAACATCCAGGATCTTTGTAAATCCTACAGAGGATTTTGCCTAAATGTGAACACCATTGAATGGAGAATTGCAAAAGCAAAATTGTAAAACTGAAGCTGAATCTAATTTAAAACAGAAGTAGGCACACCTTAAATTGGCAGAGGAGATATTGTATTCTGAAGTGTAAGATATTCTCTTGTCTGTAACTTGTGTGCCAGGCAAGCCTGGTTTTGGTGGTTGCCAGTTGCTTGCGAAATCCCTTCCTCTCACCTAAACTTAATTCATGTTGCCACAAGAGATTGCCACTACAGTGCGAAAACACGCGGGATTTCTTTCCATTTTTCTCCTTTTCCTGTCATGTCCAACGTCATGAGAAGTCCCCTGTTTGCTCCCTCCCTGGCTGTGCTGTACAGTCACACAGCACCGTGTGTGGTCAGACCCGGTCCCTCTGTGGCAGATCGGTCCCTGTGGCTCTGCAGGCTGATGCTCTGCTCTGTCAGGAGCTCTGCTCTGTCAGGAGCTCTGCTCTGTCAGGAGCTCTGTTCTTTCAGGAGCTCTGCTCTGTCAGGAGCTCTGCTGTTCAGGAGCTCTGCTGTTCAGAGCTCTGCTCTGTCAGGAGCTCTGTTCTTTCAGGAGCTCTGCTGTTCAGGAGCTCTGTTCTTTCAGGAGCTCTGTTCTTTCAGGAGCTCTGTTCTTTCAGGAGCTCTGTTCTTTCAGGAGCTTTGCTGTTCAGGAGCTCTGCTGTTCAGGAGCTCTGCTGTTCAGCAGCTCAGCTCTGTCAGGAGCTGCCCTGGGGGTGCAGTTCGGAGCTCTGTGCATGTTCCGTGCGCCTCGTGGAGCTTCCCGGGGCAGAGAGAGAAGCGCGGCCCCGGCCCTGGCGGCTCTCCGCGGCCCGAGGGATGGATTCGGTGACCCGCAGGTGTCACGGGTGTGAGCAGAGCCCAGGCTCCGTCCCCGGGAGGGCTGTTTTGGGCAGGCTGGGCCGGCAGAGGCCGTGGCCGGTGCTGCGGAGGGCAGGAAGGCGCTGGCAGGGGCCGGGGTGCGGAGGGTGGGACCCCGAGCCCCCGTTGTCGGTACGAGCGCTCCGCTCGCTCCCCTCGGCCGCAGCTGTTCGTGCATTTCAATGTGGTTGTGCATTTTAGTGCCTAGAGAGTAGAATCTCTGTGCTGGAGGTGGTTTGTTGTTGTTTTTGTTTTTATTTAAGGTGGTTTCTTCCCTAGTCCTCCTCTCCCCATCCAGTTTCTTGAGTTGATATAAGGCAGAGTTTTCAAAGCTTTTTCATCTTTGTTTTCTCCAGGTTATTTAAACGGTTCCCATTGCCCATTTGTTGTGCCATGGTTTTTCATTATGTTCAAGCAATCATTCCTTTCTTTAACATTTAATACATATCGGACATTGAAAACATCACTGTATCCTCACTGTTTGGCCAATGTTAATCTTAGCTTTCCTCAATACTAAAAGCTAATTGTTTTTACTTGAAGGCATAGGAAACATATAACAATTAAACTTTGCATATGCTGTAATAAAAATATATATTTTCAAACTAAAAAATAAAAAGTACAAATAACTGAATAGCTTAGTAGCTTCACAGAGAGAAGTTACTTGCTGTATACTGCAGAAGAAAGACGAGCTTTTTATTTTTCAAGAGTCTTCCTGATTCCTCATGTACCTCCATTTCTACTGAATTAGAGCCTAGTCCTGCAGAGCTGTACTCCCACGAGTAGTCCCATCGACACCAGTAGGTCTACACAAGGTACAGAGGCTGCAAGACCAGTCCCTAAGTGTTGCACACAGATATATGTATATATATATATGGAAAAATATCTATTGCCATTCTTGCCATGATCATCTTATGGGGTTTTATTTCAAAGCCCTTCTCCTCCAGAAGCAAAGTTTCTCTGTCATGCATGAGTGAAGGAGTATGTCAGCTCCCCCCTGCCCTCCCTCCTCGAGGCAAAGGAAGCATGTGCTTGTTTTAGGGATCCTTTATTTCATTTTGTATGTAACTAGATGGCCTTAGTAACCAAGTAGGGTAGGGGTGGATATTGCATGCTATCCAGTGACTTAGAAATACATTTTGCTTGTTATGAGCAGAGCTTTGATCAAATAAGATAAATATTTAAGATACTGATAGCCACCCAGAAGACATGTAATTTGGAACAATAAAAAAACTATTACCATCTCTTGCCTGCAGAATTTTGCTTTTAAAAACCAGTTAGAAAAAAAAATCCCTCATAAAACTCTTAGCATAAAAAAATATAAGATGACCATGGCATAAATGGTAGGACAGGTTTCTTTTAAAGAGTTTATCATGCTACAACCAAGACTTATGAATTATAATACACATTTTACAGACCTTTGACAAAAACTTTACAAGACATAGTTATCTTGAGAAACTTTCTTTTTCTTTTTCTAGATGTGACTGAATTGATAAATAGAGTTCCCAATCCTGCTTCTGATGAAGTTGTTTGGGATTTCAGGGCTTATGCAAAGATATGGCCAGATCTTACAAACTGCAATTCACATGACGAGTCTCACTGGCTTAGTCATGTGGATATTCAATGGATTAAAAATTAGCAGGATTGGGTTTAATGTGTGGTGGTGAAAGTGTGGCAATAGATTTAGGAGGGTCTTTATTTTCCAACTTTTTACAATTAGTAACGAGCAACTTTTTTTTGTAAGTCACTAGTCTATGATGTAAAATGCCCCAAAATAAAACTGTAATTGAAGAAAGGCACCTTTATGTTAACTTATATTTTTGTTACAGTATTTACTTTTGCCTTTTTTGAAAGTTTTCTAGAATGTAGAGCATCTGTGAACAACATGAATAAGTAACTAAGCACAAGCCTTTCGCAGTTCTCCTGATTATAATTAGCTTTTATACTGTAAAAGCTACTATGTTGTCCCTTGATGGTTATGTGCTCATGGTGTTTCCATGCAGAAAAATGAAATCAAAAAGCATCTGACAAAAGCATCTATTAGCAAAACAAGATTTAAAATGACCAGCTTTTGATCAGTGGCAGGAAAAGAGTTCAAAGTCCTACAGATCCTGTCCAGCTTTCAGATGGGTTGAGGGTGTTTGATTTTGACACTTGCCAGAAAATATGTAGCATCTTCAGAAGAACACTCTCAATACATCCAGCTGCTTCTATAAACAAGGTACCTGAAATACTTTAGAATTAGCTGTTTCTGCTTTTAGTCTAAAGACAGGCATCTTGCTTGGCTTTGCCTGAGCTCGATGCCTTGGGTCTAACCAAAGGCCATACAAAAGGGAGCATTGTAGCTTTTATAACAAAACAATTGGATTATTCTACCAACTTACAGGATTACAAAGCAGGTGCTTTTTATTAATTGATGAGAGCTAAAGCTCATTTTTGATAGATAATATATATTTATTAAATGTATTAACGTGTGTTTTATAACGTACCCTCTTTCCTGCTGATTGTTGCATACTGGTATCTTATTAAGTACATCTTTCAAGGGTTTTCAAGACAATCAATGTGTACCATGATGACTGTACATAAGTATACAAAACCACAAAGGTTGTAAAGCATGGGCAAATGTTTTATTTTCAAAATGCTGTTCTTAATGAGAATAAAGGCTTTACTATTTACTTACAATGTTTGTGTCCTCTTGGTTTTAAAATCCACACAGATTTTTTTCCATTGCAGTGAGCACTGCTACAGAGAGAGAATTGCTCCTTGGTGCAGTTCCTCAGTGTTAAACTGAAGGAAAGGGCTCCTAAAGCACATTCCTCCACCTCTGGCCACATTCCCACACTTACCCTTAGCTCTGGCACCTATCAAACCCAGGGTGAGCCAGTCAAGGAGCTCAGCAGCCAAACTCTTAACACAAAAGGGATGCTTTTTTCCCCTGTTGGCTCAGCAGTTTCCTGTTCTGGTTCAATTGCTTGTGAAAAGGAGAGGACAGAAGAATTCAGCTGGGTTTGAAGAGTGCAGAATGAGAGTTTTTCTTCAAATGGTTGGATTTTCCAGAGCTGGTGTAAGAACCATCATCACCAACCAGGAGCAAACCCAAGGGGTGGGTACTGGTGTAAGAGTGAGGACAAAGTCTGTGCAAGTGAAGGAAGAAATCCATGTGGACCCACAGCAAGTGCTGGAGACCCCCCATGTTTTATTAGGGGTTCAGTCAAAACAACTACACCTTTGACTTACATGGAATTATTTGTAGTTCTGCTACTATCTTCCCTAACTGTGAAATTATAAAGGCATAAATAAGACCGTTCTTGGCAGGACTAAGTTAAAAAAATAATAAGGATTCCTTAGCAAGAGGCCCAATCTGATTTTTACTGTGCTTGGACCTGATAAAAGTAAGTAGCCTGCATAAGATTGCTGAAAATGCTGACACTGGGATCTTAATTCTACACTTTCCCAGCACATGTGCTAAGTGGTAACAAAAGGGCCTTTGACTTTTCTCCCCTGCAGAACTGCAGAGCAACCCCAGCTCTCATTGCCTTCCATTGGAATTGCAGGGGCACAGCATTTCTGCAAATTAGACCGTTCTGAACAGAGCCTGGATTTGTGTAAATTGTCATAGCTCTGCAGGAGTCAGAGAACTCCAGTTCATGATAAATGAAGATTTAACACTTGCCTACATGTGGATAGAACCCCATTTAATTTCATCCAGAGTTTTGTTCCTGTCAGAAAAGGGTTTAAGTGAGCATTCAGGAACACAAGATAAATACAGATTCAACATTTTTGGCTAGATGTGCACCATTCCATCTGTTTTAACGGAATTGTGCTCACTTAGACTAAGACTGAATTTTGTCTTGGCATGCTGGGTCCTTACATAACCTGCCTTTGATTTACAATACCTCACATGTAAAACTTTAATGCTAAAAGGGTTTCTAAATCAGTATCACAAAGTCCATGAGCTCTGTGCTTTGCAATTTTAGTGAGGAAACTAAAATTGAGACGTTGAAGGATTTTGTGTACGTTAGTCCGGCTCTTCTGATTTGCTTCCCACTGCAACCATACAAAAAAAATAAAATTAACAGGCACAGAAACAAAACAAGAAAACATCCATACTTCTACAGCAGATGTTCTGTGGTTCAATAAATAAAAAAAAATCCCCTGCTAGACCCAAAATGTGTATTTCTTCTTTACATGGCATTTTTTTTCATGTTTTGACACAGCTTCAGCACTCAGATACTTGCACACAGTTCTTTGTGCAGCTGTGGGAGTTGTGCATGTGTAGCTGAGGGCAGAGCTCTTTGCTAGTAAGAAGTCACTGGATTAAAAAAAAAAATTGAAAGCAGCTCTTTGAGGTTTTTGCTTTGAAGAATTTTTCAATTAAAAGTCAGTGATGAAGTCATACAGTTCACCTAGCATATAAATATATTTTTGTCACTTAGGACAACAAGCAAGGTCAATAAAGAATAGTTTCTCTGTGTCTCAGTGGAAAGAAGAATGTTATCCATGTGATTGCAAAGGGTCTGCCAAATGGGAAAAATCAGTCAAACAAAGAGCACAGGACTGCTTGCTGGAGTAAACAATTCTAAATGAACAAAAGCTCTACATAAAAGTAAAATGTCCCACCCCCTGGTGAAAGCTGTTTTCAAAGCTCTGTATTCTTTCAGAATGTTGTAATACAGATTAACCTAATGTTTTTCTTCTGCTGATACAACAGTCTGGTTCCTCATTCTACTTGTGTGATTTCAGCTATCTTATTCTGGTTTTGATACTTTAAAATTTTACAAACTGGCTTTCAACTTAAAAAAATCTGCTTTTCTATTTCCTACACTTCAGAAGATGTGTCTGTACTATACACCTTTACATCAAGCCAGTTTGTTGGGAGGTTCATATATAAAAGCTATGCTAGAGGTAAAGAAAGCCAAATAAGCCAAAAAAAATTCCCCTTTTGAACATAGAGTTTCAGGAGAGCTTAGTTACCCTTCCAAGGCATGCAACTGAAAACCAGCAGACAAAATCCTCTTGGTACATACCAGGAATGCTGGGCTGCAGTAGGCCCATGTGCTAATTTAAGGTGCTCAGTGTGCTCCCAACCTGGAGAATGTCAGCTCATAGAAAGCATCCAGGAAAAGTGGATGAGAAGGGACACAGCAATCCCTTAGAAACCCAAAATGAGACTGGAGCAGCAGGAGAAACCCTGTTTTACAATGGTCAAGGCAATATGTGCCCAGTGCCTTGATGGCACAAGACCTTTCAGGATTTTAGGGTTTCTGTTTGTGCAGTTAAGGAGAAAAATTGAGAGTGGATTTAATGTCCCCTATGACTATGAATGTCCTGTATACAAAATAATTTCTATTTCATTGAATTTTAGCTAATATTTCTTGATGTGATGAGGCTGACATTTGCAAATATTTAATAAAAATTGCAACATTCAGAAACCTCAGGGCTCACACACTTTCACATTAAAATGAGCAGGTGTTTTAGGTATCTGCTAGCAGTGCTTTTAGTCAATAGTGTCCTTGTCTTATCATAACCTGTGTTACTTAAGCATAACAATTTTCCAATCACATCACACCAAGCAGGAAGCACAGGCTGTCAGCATAAATCTGGATTTCAGGCAGTTATTTAAATAGTTTTTGACATATACTGGCTTCCTATGCAGATAGAAAAGTAAGATGTCCTCAGGATTCAGATAAACTGGAAAGATGGAGAAAGAAGCTGCCTGGCTACGTTTTTTTGCTAGAAATTTCCATTGGAGAAATGTATTTTTCAGGCTGTGCCACCTCAAAGTGAACTAGCTTGCTTAAAATATTTTGAAATGCCTAAGGAAGATGTTTAGAACAACTTACAGCACCTGATAATCTTTCAGACAACACAATGGACATTGTAAATGTCAACATCACCAACCTGGCTTACAACTGCACCATTCCTTATGCTGAATTTTAGCCATTTCAGTCCTAGAAGTCCTATCATTCTTTCAAGAGTGAGAAACCTCTCAGAAAATTTATTTTGGTTTCCAGTGCACTTTAAAAGGTGTGAAGATCTGCACGTGAGCAGCCCCGTTCCCCCTGCAGTCACTGTGAGCAGCTCTGCAGGGCCAGCTCCCCACACTGTGGCAATGCCAGCTCTGGTTCTGCTGCAGTGGAAACCATTCCCTGTGCTCTGGGAGAGTTCCTGATGCTGGGGAAAGGCACAGGGACAGAACTGGGCAGAACAAAGTGCCCCAGGACGCCATTTACACAGCGGGGATTGCAACTGTGCACTGCTGCCAGTCCCAGGGAAATGCCAAGAAAACTGTTCTCACAGAAAGCTGGATGCAGGGAAATTGCAAGCACTTCAATCCCAAGATGTTTGTGTGACTGAATGTATGAAATTTATCTACAGAGAATGCCTAACTTAAAGAGGCACAATATTAGAATTAAATAACACAGTCGTGCTCAATGGCAGCGTGATCAGTATTTTGTGTTCTTTTAAAACATCAGCTCCTGTCTGAAGTCCTGAGACACAGAGGAACTGAGGCCCTTAAATGCTGTAACAGTGTAAGTTAAGAAACAATGAGATCTCACATCTCACTTATTTCTTCTAGTACTGGTATTTCTACCTGAATAGGTCATATGGTTTCTCCTATCAGAACAGTTTGATTTTTTAGCTCTATGTTTCAGTCTCTTTACTGTATTTTTCAGACTTTATACTCCTTAGTCTTATTTTTTCAGAGTGAGAAAACCTGATTAAACTCTGCTTTAGTCACATGCACATTTTAAATCATAGGACACTACAGCCACCACTGCAATAACAAGCACCAGTGTGTGATAAATTTCTTTGGAGGTGAGCTGGGGGTGTTCCTGAGGAGCACAACTGTTATCTGCTATTTTTGACCTACTACAATAAAGTCATCTACTACTTGGTCTGCCATGTTCCTTGGGAATGCAGCTCATTTGACATAGTTTCTCATGTCTGTGCTGCAATGCTGAGGCACAGATGATGGCTAAAGGAAGCACTGGAATGTATCTGGGAAGGGACAATTCAAAAACCTGCAAAACTTGGAGCTTTTTCCTATTTATTTAAGCAGTAAGTTCAAACATCCTTATCATCTAATTTGGATGGCAGACATCATTTTCCCTCATCTTAATGTTCAGGACTGATGTTTTGGTTTGACACTTGGTTGTTTCAGCATAACAGTGAATAAACTATGACCTACTTTGTGCACTACTGGATAACACAACTGGCTTGTGACAGGAGCTTAGGAAAGGTTTATGCTCCCACACTCTATAAAGAGTGCATTTCTTCTTCATAGAACTCTTAAGAACTACATTTAGTAATTTAAACAGTTGAAAACAGTAATGAAAAATACTACAGACTCAGACTATAAGAAGATGAAAATCCATTAAAGAAAATCTATTGGAATAACTTATTAGCAGGGGCTTAGAGTAAAATATATATATAGAAAGGAGTTTCACCCTAGCCTCCCAATGAAATGCCAAAGAAGCCTGAACATGAAATTGGAGCCACCAGCAATCTTGCTGAAATAAGACCTGACTTTTAAAGAGAAAGTTTTTTTATATAGTGTTTATAATTTTAGCCTCTTACTATTGGAAGTCTGCCTGTATACAATTATTAGTGAAACCTTTCACTCCAGGAGATATTCAGTCACTAGTGATAGGGAAATAATCTATTGCATACAGATACATTAACCAAACAAATGTTAAAATGGAAATTATTCCTGCCCATAGACACTCCCATAAGTCATGAATCTGAAATGGAACTGTTAGAGGATCACTGAGCAGAAGAGGCCTCTGCAAAATGGATTTTTAGAAGTGTCAGGACAAACCTAATTCTCCAAATCAGGAGCAGAGTTTGTCAAATGCTTAGTCTTGCTTTCGTGACTGTAGGGGACAAAAATTTTCAGGGCACTTTTTAATTCACTTAGGATCAGATTAACAAAGTAAGGGCTGAAATACAGGAGACTTCCAAACACCAACATTCAGAGATACACATGGGGAATAAGGGCTGGAAGATCTCTAGCAGAATTTGTTTGTGCAATGCACCATTGCTTCTCTCATATTTTGACAGGAAGACTCAGAATTCATTAGAATATATTTGAATGGCATTTTTACAATTCAAGGTGTACAAAAAGAAGAGAAATATGGGGAGATACAAGTATTGGAGTAGATGAACAACAGCCATGAACACCTGAGTTAGGAGAGAAAAGAACTACAGAGAATTAGATGTACTGGAGGCTATTGTTTAAAAGTATCCAAGTGCCCTCCAAATCATTCAATGATCTGAGATTTATGAAGAGACAGCCACAGAAACACAACAGTTTATAGAACACAACCCTGGACTGAGAAGAAAATGCAGAATGAAGGCAACCAGTGCATTTCCAGACATCTGATTAATGCAGGCTTTTTCAATTTAAATACTCAAGATAGAAAAAGAGAATGATGAAAACAGAAAGGACTGACCAGAAATAGAAATGATCCCAGAGTGGTAGGTCCTCAGCTAAAAGCATTTGGGGATTTACAGGCAGAAATCAACATGGGCAGAAACCCAGAACTCCAGATTTGCTGGGCAGCTTCATGAAAACTGCATTTATCCCCATTAGCCCCTCTTATTTCTGACATGATTCCAGCTTGCAAAATGTGATAGGTTCTGTGAAGTTACCACATTTAAACTCTCGTGCAGACTAAAAGAAAGCATCAGGTAAGAAAGCAGACTGGTGCCACAGGGAGGGCTCCAAGGCAGCCAGGGCAAGCAGCTCTGGGTTCTGCAATCTGTCAGACACTTTTTGTATTCCCTGAGTCCCATTTCAGTACTCCACCAACAGCTCAGGGTCTTTCTCTCCCTACTCCACCTCCCCCCTTCTTTTTTCTTTAACCAAAATCTCAAATCTTGTTTTGCTGCAGGACTATTTGGAGGCTTTATTTTTCAGCTGGTGACAGCCTTTTCTCCAGGCTTCTGGAGAAAAGCTCCACATCCCACAGTTATAAACAGAAATTTGGGGTTTGCTTATCTAAATGGTTTACAAAAAACACCAGCAGCATTTTCAATAAAAA